CAACAAAGCTACACACACTAAAAGAAGCAAACATGGCTCTGAGGTCGTCAGCTATAATCCCATAAGTCCTTCTCCAGAATGCAAGTGAAGTTGAGCTGCAAGGCCTTCTCCAGAATCCATCTAACTGCAGTCAGACTAACCTCTTCTCTAATTCTCTAAATACCTGAGATTCAGACCAGATATGAATTGGGTTTCCCTCTCTGTAGACATCCCCTCCTAGTAACTGCCCTACTCCAATATGAAGATCTCCAACTAAAGCTGGTTGTCCAAACTTCTTCACACCTCTTGCAATAATTCCAAAGTCCCTGATACCTGAGAACTCTAGCCACTTCTTCAAGAAAACTTTGGCAATCAAAGTTTCTGGAGTCCACACCTTCTCAAACAACCAACAATTCATAGTCTCCAAAACCACCAAAGTAGGTAACTGGAGAGATTGAGTTGATCCTTGAAGCATGCTCCATTTTCCTTAGAAAAAACTTCAAACCACTAAATTCTAAAAAAAGCTTTCTTCAGTTCCACGTTATTCCAACTAATACCCAACAATTTCCAACAAATTTTAGCTCTGGAACAATGGAATATAATATGATCTAAATCCTCCTTCTCCACACCACAAATAGGACACCACACGTCAAAACCAAACTTTCTCTTTTGAAATTGAAAGCCGGTACTCAAGAAGCCAAACCAACATTCCCAAAGAATGTTTTTGATCTTACCTTTTATAGGCAAACCCTGGGTAATTTTCCACATCATCTTGGCCAAAGAGTCTGTTGTGCTAGAGCAAACTCCTACTTTACTTTCCAATTGATCAGGCATTCATACACATCCTTCACTATTAATTCCCCTTTGTTATGCCAATGTCTAATGAGTTTGTCTCTTTATTCACTGTGGCTATAAGGGATATGAAGAATATGCTCTGCATTAGAAGGGTTAAAAGTTTGACAAATCAACTTTGTAACCCATTCTCGAGTATCTTTCAGAATAAGATCATCAACTCTCTGCACTCTCTCACTATCACCAGGAAATTGACACTCATGGATGAAGGAAGAATAAGAAGGAAGCCAAGGGGAATCCCCAGATCCTAATTGACTTCAGTGACTTTTTTGCTCCTAACTAGCTTCTCCGTAGCCAAGAATCAAAGTTCCTTGGTTTGACATCCATTAAATTTTCCTTCCAGAAGTATTTTTCCCTCAAACCTATACTAACCAGAATACTGGGCAAGGTTATTAATTTCTAAGGTTTGTAAATCCTAAACCCCATTTCTCTTTTAGTTTTGCAACATTCTCTCAAGAGGCCCAATGGAATTTTCTAACTCCCCTCCCCATATTTGCCCCACCAGAACTTAGAAATTTTGCAAATAAAGTTACAGATCGAGGCAGAAATTCTGAAACAATAAATAACAAAGGTGGGGGAGGGAGTCCAAAACATACTTAATAAAAAATTCTCTACCAGTATCACTCAGAAAGTAATTTTTGTAACTGCACACCCTTTGTTTCACTCTCTCGCTCATAAACTGAAAGATATTTCTCTTGTTTTTACCAATCTAAAGGGTCAGACCCAATTATTTGGAAGAGCTAACCCTAGTGATCCCATTCAACATGTTACATATATCCTAGGCAGCGATATAAGAGGTACTTTTGGAGAAAAAATGCATGATTTTTGTCCATATTAACCAGCTGGCCAGAGGCCCTACCATACTCATCTAAGATTCAGATGAAAGAGTAAGCATGAGACAAATTAGCCTTGCAGAACATGATAGAATCATAAAAGAAAATAAGTTAGAAATCATAGGAGGATGTTTACTGATTCTAATTCCATGAAATTCATATAGAACAAGTTTGTTTAATAAAATTAGAAAATGCCTCAGTCAAGATAATGAACAAGAGGGAATAAGGGATCCGCCTACCTCAAGATTCTACTAGGTAACACATAGCCAAGATCAGTTCCATTCACACTGAAAGATAAAGATGAAGAACAAATACAGGCTAAGATCTAGGGAATAAACTTATCATGAAACCACATTTTTTTACAGACTCTAGCCAATAAATCTAACTATACTCTGTCATAGGCCTTAGCCATATCAAGTTTAATTGTCATATAACTATATTTGCCCTTTATTTTGTTGTTAAAATAATTTCTGCATTCATTAGAAATCATAACATTGTCAATAATCTATCTACTAGGCACAAGTACAAATTGGGAGGGAGAAATACAAACACGAAGAACAAGTTTCAATCTATTGGCAATAACTTTGGAAATTATCTGAAAAAACCACATAGTACAAACTAATAGACATGTAATCATCGACATTTCTAGGGTTTCTCTTTTTAGGGATCAAGGTAAGAGTAGTATGATTAAGACCTTTAGGCATATGACCTTTTTTTAAAGAAGTTTTAGGCAGCAACGAACAAGTGGTTTTTAACGATGTTCCAAGAGTTATTAAAAAACAAAGCTTTCCATCCATCAATACCAAGAGGTTTAAATGGTTTCATTTACATGAGAGAAATTTCAATTTCAGAACTACTATCATCCCTAATCAACTTAGCATTCATTTAAGAACTAATAGACACAATGGTCTCTTCTAAATTGCAATTGTCAACTAAGAAGTTAGAAGTTCTAAAACGCTCCTCAAAGTAAGAACTTAACTCCTCTATAGTTCCTTTCTCGAACCACACCTCCTACCATCAGTGTTTGTCAGATTGTCTAAGGATCCAAGCAAAATGATTGCCTACAATTATAGTTTCCACCATACCCATAACCTTGACAAACTCCCTAAACACAAGGAAGGAAGAATCATCCCTAGGTCTGCTTCCCTTTTTTTTTATCACAAATAGACAAGGGATCATTGAAATCTCCTCCAACAAACCAAAGCTCCCCCAATATAGGTTGTGATGGGTCTACTTCGGGATATGAAGTGAACCGGTGGAAATAGGCTTTGATCTGCTCGAACTGCCTTCAAATTGCCTTCGAACCGCCGCACACACCTGCAAGAACTCAACACCGGATATGTTTCCAGTGAAAATCCTCCGACGATCAAGTCACTATGGGAGCAATGAAGATGAGCTCTGCTCAGTAGGAGCAGCAGCTGGGAAAATGAGTAGAAAATGAAAGTTAGGGTTTGGGGTTACCTCAGCTCCTTAATATAGAGGCGTAACACTTACCTGAAGTCCCCAAAATGCCCTGGCCGACTTATGTGAAGTGTCCAAAATACCCTGGTCGATTCGCATTCCGTCCACCTCCTAGTCAGCATCTAGATTCCTTATTATCCTTGGTAGATTCACTTGCTTGAAGGTTTTCTTACGATATGTTAAAGTATATAGAATTTGTCGGAGGTCTTGGTGCCTCGAGGCGTCATAAGTCGACTTCGGGTGTTGTCGAGTCGACTCAGGTCATTCTTGAAAGTCTGTAGATCGTATTACGTATATTCGTCTCTTTGAGGGAAAGTCGACTTTCTGAAGGTCGACTGAGAGAACCACCTGGGACTTTGTTAAGCCGAAAACAGTTCTCAGGAGGCTTATAGGAAGAATCGACTTTGCGGAAGTCGATTCCTTGATGTCGATTAGTGTAAGTCGACTCGTGTGCCTATCATTTGACCGGGTAGTTAGTGTTTGAACCGCTATGCTGCGATATGGCTTTATCATCTAG